TATTTATAATGGATTAAAAATAAGAGAGGAGGACTGTTTTGATAGAATCTCAAAGAAAATTCTATTTTTAATGCCTTTTGTCAAAACAAAAACTGATATTATCTTTTTATCTTAATGTAGTCTAGTTCTGTAATATTGGATCAAATTGTTGAAGGAATAGCATTTTCAAATTCAAAAGTTAAGATTTTAAAATTATGTTTTGTAGGAGAAAAAACTGTAAGACATAGTTATTCACTGAAATACCTACCCCCCCCCCCAAAAAAAAAGAATTGAATCACTGTAAAATTGCACATTTTCATGGGGTCAATTTTTCTAGGTTTCCCTTTGAGGGAAAAAAAAAATGATTTGTGGGGATTGATTTTTTGGTTGGAGAAAGTTAGTAATGGACCAGAAATTTTGAATTTTGTGGTGGTCATAAATTCACAGGTTTCTCCATATCTCACATAACAAAATAAAATTAAACCCCATTAAAAATGACTGATTTCATGGTATACAAGTGTACATCATACCAAAGTACACAGACACACGTTTCCAAATTAAAACTTGTCCCCTCACCTGTCTGACAAGGTTCTGTACCAACTTCTCCATGGTGAAGGCGATGTAGGCATGGATACCGTACATCTCTCTTAGCTGGTCCTCGTACTGTGTAGATTCTAGGTTCCCGTCCAGCAAACTCTTCACCATCTCCAGGAAGTATGGATAGTACTCCTCTGGTTCAATCTCGCCTGTAACCATGGCAACAATCATAACAAATGAAAAATTTAGAAACTCAGTGTTATAAGACTAAAGCTAAATGATGTCAAGATTGTAAATTCATGTACATTACTGTACAACTTTTCCTCGACTAAATATGACAAAGGGAAAGGGGGGGTATTGACTGGACTGTACATGCATAAATAACAGACATAATGTTTGACAGCTTAAGCATATAAGATTTCCCCTAAAAACTTCTGAACATTACTTACTTGGAGCTTTGAGTCTGAGGGCCACTGCAGTAGATTCTTTTCTGTCTTTTCTACACTGCGCCTCCTCTGCGGCAATTTTAACAGAATATGTGTATATCTTGTACAGGCGTTCACACAGAATTTGATGGAGGCGGAAAAACAGATACCAGTTATTGTTGACAAAGAACAGGGAATAAACGTCATCCTGAAAATTGACAAAATAAAATTGTTCAAGAAAAAATTGCAGCTATGTGATGGTATTAAATATTAAACTAATTGAACACAAACTACATCATTACAGAAATGGAGTAAAACCTTGTACAAAAGAATTCTTCTTTATAATCAATTCACTAGTGTTAAAGTTTTCAAAAAAAATTATATACATACATCCTCCATATCTTCGTCGTTGGTGTTTTCCTCCTGGTCGCCGTTGACAACAGCGGAGTCTGCAGACTTACTCTCGTCTTCTTCCTCCATTTTTATCTCAGGGTCGACCTTCTCCTCTTTGACCTTCACCTCTTCACTCTCCTTTCCATTTTTCCCTGAATTTGAAGATCTGTCCTTCTCCAGTTCTTTCTTTTCTTCTGCTTTTGGCATTTCCTTGTCTGCATCATCAACATCCATGTCATCTACAACACATGTAAGCCATTAGTAAGGTTGAAACAAAAACTGAAAACTACAGCAAAACTCAGTTATAACATGTCACAGGGACCTATGAAATTACTTCGCTATATCCGTAATTCGTTATAACCGTACAAGAAATTCATTTAATTTATATAGCTGGGGATCAAAGATGACTTCACTATATCCGTGTTCGTACTAAAAGAGTTTTGCTGTACATCACAAAACTGGTAAAAATAAGAATTCAAAGAAATTTATCGGTGAATATTTTCAATATGATATACATGCAAGTAGATTATCATTTCAATTTAATTAGCAAATAACTCTTTAAAGAAAAAAATATGGATTTTTCAATTCTACATACTTGCCTTTGTTTTTAGGATATCTGACGAAGTATTACATGATGACAATTAACAGAATTATAGATACTTCAGAATGAGTATGAGTTGTCTTCCCCTACCTTCTTCCTCATCGTCACTCATTTCCTGTCGTGGCATAAAGAACAGATCAGGTATCAGCTGACGTAACAACAGCTTGATCTTATGTTTGTCATCTTTGTGAATTCCTACAAAGGGAAAACATTATTTTTTTTTATATCAATTAAATGTACATGTGTTTATAGCTATGAATCTAAAACTCATAAAAATGTCTGCAATATTGGCTTGATCTCCTCTCTGTAATCACTGTCAGAAAAAAAAAATTCAATTGAATTTTTAATGCAGTAGGTGAAATCCTTCCCCACCTCTTTTTTGGAAAAAAACATTTTATTCTCAGATTTTCTTGATAAAGGATATGTAATCTTGGCCTGTCAGCTTTTAGTTGTGTAATTTCCATACATAAAGTAATAGTCAAGCTACATGTACATACCAATTCCTCCTCATTGCTTTATATTGCAAATTGAATCTTGCAAGTCAATTAACATTGCAGTAATTTGCTGGTTAACGGTTGACAAAGAGACTTTGCATGGATTTCATCATCATTACATTAAAAGCGAATAATTTTAATTTGAGGTAGGTGCATCTGGTGAAAGATGACCTCTAAATACTTGTGTATAATTAGAAATCTACAGAAGGTAACTCTCGTATCAATACTGACCGGCTTGTCTCTTCATGTGATGTAGGATGAGGGAGGCTGCGTCCTCGATGACAGACCTGTCCTTGTACACATAACTCAGGTGAGGGTTAAATGCTTCAGCACTCTCTGTCTCCTGCTCTGACCGCTGTCATACAAAATATAAACAAACTCTGCTGATGTAAATTTTTATTAATGACTACTTTACTTTCCAAGCTGTGAAGATCAACTATGAAAAGTGTAGTATTGAAGGAAAAAAATGGACCTTACACTCTCTTTTTTAATTTAGGGAGGGGAGGGGGAGGAAAAATCAAAGGAAGATGGATCAATTTAAATATTTATTAATCATGAAACTTAATTTTCCTTTTCAAATGACTCAAGACAATTACTCAAAGGAGAAAGAAATCTTTCACAAATTTTATCGGAAATCTGTAGTTATCATTCAAAGAAATCTTAGTTTTCTTCATTAATTCTCGTGTTACAATGCACCTGTAACAAATAACACTTCTGACCAACTTAGTTTTTCTGCATATGACACAGTGACAGAGTCACAAACCCATATTTCAACTTCAAAAGTTCCCAATTGTCCATTACCAAAATCAATACAGAGTTAATTCAGGCTAACCCTAACTTTGACCTTGCACCTCAATATAACCTTTGACCCACCTCATCATATATAGTCTCTATCTCATTGAGGAGTCCTTTAGATCGGATGGCCTTGACATCGTTTTGTTTGAAGTTAATTCCCTGGTGATCCAGTGACTTGAGATAGTACTTCTCATTCTGCTCTCTCCAAATCTTGTTGAAGTTCCTCTGGGCTTCACGCCATTCTTCTTCCTTGGCCTTCAACCTAAAAAAATTTCAAACATGAATTTCATTATGTACTGATAGGTTCTCTTTTGTCTTTAATTCCAAATATAAATGTGGATGATGTTGAACAAATTGGCAGGTTTCCAACAAAGTTATCCCCCATTAGTCTGTATTTCCACTGGTAACACATAGAGATGCATGGAATGTGAACTCCCTCCTTTATTTATGAAATTTAATACTTTAGATTCCTAAATATACATGTACACTAGAAATAAATTATCGTTGTACATCGTGTAGAGCACCACTCATGAAATAAAATTTCTCGTTTTTATTTTTATTGTGCTGAAATCAATGTTAAATCTCTAGATTAACCATCCAATCTCGAATTATTGTTCTCATAATTTTACGTGAAAGAGCCAATTTGCGATAATAAGTACTTGCGAAAAATAAGGAATCTACAGTAGTTTGCATAAAAAATTTGAATCAACATACATTTATATAGGAGACACCCCATTTGCTTACCTCCTCAGCACTAGAGGTACTGCTACAACAGGGTTCTTCTTCAGACCGTCAATAATGTCAGGAGCTTTGTCTCCATATATTCTACAATATGTACATGTGTTCATTTAGCAAAACTGTTATTAATACGGTAATAATACCCTAATATGTGAGTTCTCTCCCTCCCCCCTTTTTTAAGAACTCTACAGTTAAATAATGGTATCTGATCTCTTTCACCACCACCCCTTCTCTCTCTCTTTCTCATGAATTCTCTCTATTGTCTAATATTTATACATATTAACCCTTGGACATGTTGGAATGTGATGAAATTTATCAATCTAAAAGTTTAAAAATTCCCCACTCCCTTCCACACAAACACTTCCTCCTCCCTAACCTCTGTATGGATTTCCTCTGTAGAACATCAGATGACCCGCCCAAGGAGTTGTCCAATCGGAATTTAGCAGCTTCCTCCGAGCTCATGCGACTCATTTTCTTCTGCACTGCCTCCAGGCAACGAATAGTGGCCAGGTTTGTCTCCACGACAACATCCAGCTGAAAAGCGTCAATAATTGAAAATCATTTTCTTTCCCATTACTTTTATTGGAGAACCATTTAATACATAGAGTGCTTTACGAGCTTGAAGGCAGCATTATTAATGTATTCAACTCCTAATTGGGATATTACAAAATGCTGGTGGTATACTGCAAATTTCGACAGTAAGGCAGCATTTATGGCCACTCAGAAGTGTAAAGAACCTTCTTTTTGTGCAAGTATCAACTACTGCCTTATCCAAATGACCTTTTAAATATGGATAACTGAACCCTGAAAACCTACCTCAAACCTCTCGTCCTCACAGCGGTAGATGTGTTCCTCGTACTGCGTTTTCCGTGATGTGACAAACGTGGAATCCTCGGACCAGGAAGGGAAAGAGACCCAGGTGTCGTTCAGTACCTTCAAAGGTTAACAAAGCTTATGTAAGTAACAATTTACATTATAAGTATATGTACAAGAGATGGGGAAGCATGAGTTTCATGAAAAATATGCCTACATGCAAGTCCTATGTGATTTACACATAAATAATTCACACAAAACTATAAAACATTCCTTAAATTTACATTTTTCATGTATAAAAGCACCAAAAATTTACTCAATGTTAGAATTTCTAGCTGCCCTATATCTTTATACCGTATATACTCGCCTATAAGTCGGACTTTTGGGAGTTAATATCTGGTTCAAAACTCTATGTCCGACTTATAGGCGAGCTATAAGATTAATGGTTTTATATAAGGACAGTCCCTTTGATATTTAAGCTTATCAAATACAACCGACTTACAGGCGGACCGACTTATAGGCGAGTATATACGGTATTTTTACTAAAGTCCCTGTAGCCTTATTGTGACATTATGTTTAGAGCACATTTCTTCATGTATATATCTAATTGTGAGTATACATAAAAATGGCATTCAAATCAATTTCACAATTGGCTTACTAGAAAAGCACAGCTAATGTAAATATTACAGAAAATAGGTTCATTTTGCTTGTGTGCAATATTTTTAGACCCTTTGTGTTAAAACAAATACATATTGTTTCATCTTTGATTTCCAAGTCTCTAAATAGTTACCTCTCTACACAGTGGGGTCCGCCCTGAACACTTGGGCTGGGGGTAGGACTTGGGCAGTGCTCTGTAACTGGCTCCGTACCTCTTACAGGTGGCATAGTCTGAAACAGTGGGGTATCATTATAATTACAGGCTGAACTTCTCCACTATAAAATTTAATAACCAACATTGCAAACCAAGCTAACACTGAAGACTATGAAGAGACTTATATTACATCACTTTTTCTTACAAATATATGTCAAAATTAGGTCACAAACAACATACACATTACAATACTGATTGTGTTAATGAATTATATGACATAGATAAGAAAATTTAAAGGAAACATTTTGAATAAATGTGGTGTTATATCTTGATCTCAGCAGTGTAGTTTAGATAATTTGGATACCACCAACGAAAAACAATAATGACATACATGGTGATAATTACAGTGCAGCTCATTTTAAATTCAGGATAACGCCATCATAAACAATGACCCACATTGTGATAAGAACTCTACGATTTATTTTAACTCCCTGATAATACTACCGTACACACTGACCTATTTCCATAGCCAGCTCCCCGCTGACCCTCTCCTTCCCCAGGGCACCTTGAGGTACCGCCTCTGTGGTACCACCCGACTCCTTGTATCCCAGGAAATCCTTGAACCACTTGTACAACTCAGGGGACCTCCTAAAGAATATTAAAAAATAATTTAATTTTGATTGTAACACATCATTTGATTGAATAAAAAATTAATCTTAATCGTATAATCTGGTTTGCCTACGTTACAATGACTTGCGTCAAAAACGTATCAATCCACATGACATTCAATCTAATTAAAATTAGATGTGAGATCCGCTCGCCTAATCGCTACACTAACATCTAACAACATCCCATTGAGGGTCACGTCAGAGGTCAAATTCGGAACAGTTCTAGACTTATTTACTTCAACAATATGCGATCATTTTGCAGACAATGATTTGATTGTTTCAAAGAAATTGACCCTTGACGTGACCCTCAATGGGATGTTGTTAGATGTTAGTGTAGCTAGTATGCGAGCGGATCTAACATCTAATTTCAATTAGATTGCATGACGTTACCTTTAAAATATGAACAATTTGAAGGCGGAGAATGTCTTGTTTCATAAACTTGATTGAAAATTAAATTAAAAGGAATGAATGAAATTGCAACCCAAATTATATTACTATAACCTTGGTTGGAGCAGTTTACACTTTTTTATAAAGCGCTTCGCGGTTTATTTAAGAAATAAGGTATCATTTTTTGAGTTATATTGGGATGTAAAACCGGTTGGTCACGTGATCAAATCCCATAAAGCCCGAAGGGCTTTATGGAAGATTTGATCATGTGCCAACCAGTTTTACATCCCAATATAACTCAAAAAATGATACCTTATTTCTTATATTTACACTTGTTGCTATTTTTAGGCCCACAACGCGTTTCCATACATTCCTGTTTTTTGACCTAGATAACCGCTTCAATTAAAATGGCGTAACAAAAAATAGTTCCAGGATATTGCAACTATTAATTAACACTGATTAAAAAATAAACAGTTGTTTTAGTCACATAAACAATATTTTCGTAAAAAAGAAAAATTACAGAGAGAATTAATGTGTATTTTACGAAATACGAATAAAAACTGTGCGGAATATCATTACTTCCGTTGACGTGAAGAGGTCACACGGCGTCTATTTGAAGTTGAAAACACACTGGTTGAAAACGGACTTGGAGAGGAAATCAGACGACATTCTGGTGCTCACAGAGGAACTAGCATCGAAAGAAGGATGGTTTTCATTTGGAACAGGGGAGAAGGGCCTTTCTTGTTCACGAGGAGAGACAGAGAAAGAAGCAGATGGAGCTGACAACGTGGAGGCACTGCACGAAAGATTGGTGATGTTGTTGCTACTGCGGTTTTGATCAGGATTTGTCAGTAGAGAAAGGCAAGAGCTTACAGAGCGTTTTTGTTCATTGGACAAATCACAGTTGTACTTTATCAATCATGCTTCGCTGCGGTGCCCACTCATGAACATGATATGCCTGGACTCGAACCCATGATCGCTCATAGCAGTAATCGCCGTGGCTCTCAAGCAGTGAGGGGTGTACGACTTCAGACATTTAGAAGATTTGCAAATATCAGACATGTATCCACTGAATGATCGCTTTGCCAGAGGTTTACATGTATACCATAAATCAGATCCAGAGTTGATAAAAGCTTCTTTAAAACATGTGTTAAAGACTTTTAGCATTGGGCTCTGTCTTGCTCATCAACAAGCGCAGCATCTTCACAGGGCAGATATCACTGCCAGGAACCTCGTAGATACGCTTTCCGGCAGGAGCTTCATCTGATCTGATTCCTCCTTGGAAATTTTTTTGCTGAGTTTCATGCCGAAGTGTAATGTACTCTAAGTTGTTCTCATCCTTGTGAAATTCAAAGGAATCCATCTGTAATTGATGATGAAACTCTAGGCCACGGGTAACTAAATGAATAGACAAATTGTACCAAACGCATTGGCGAAGCACAATTTGGGAATGTGGGGCCGAAAGAAAATACGAAGATATGCGTTCAAGGTCTTCATGATGAATTACTGATTTGTGCTTTGTAGCTCTTGATACACCAGTTTTTGTCATAGATTTTAGCATTCCATCTAAAGTGTAATTTGCCGTTTTGAATTCCTTGTCTCGGACAATATCTATCGATCTTCCTAAATCTTGAAGGTGCCTGTTAAGTGCAGCACGGAGGTTTTTTAAGCTGTTCTTGTGGTAATTCTCTGCCTGCGCAGCGGTTAACTCTGCAGCCCTTTTTGGAGTTGATTTGGGTTTGGCTTCGCAATAAAATTTCCGCAATTTTTCAGCAAGGATCTCAGAAGTGACAGTTTTGAAATCAAGAACATCAGAAAAGACCTCCAAGTGCCAATCTATAAATTGTAAAGGGAATTTATCTCAGCAATTGATTTGGATTGCATTAATTTTTATTTTTTAATTTTTCTGTTTTTATTTTTTATTTTCTAAAACTTTTATTTTTTTCTATTTTTTAGTTTGCATGTTTGATTGATTTGTTATATTGATATGTTGGTGAATGGCATTTCCATTTCTGTATTTTTTTTTTGTTTGTTTGTGTGCTTGCTAGGCTGCTTGCCCTTGGGCCTATACATTTTAATTTTAATTCTTTATTTTAAATTCATCTGTTTGTAGACTGCAGAGAAACATCTGGTTTGCCTTTGTGCTGGTGAATGTATTGTTTTACTGTAAATATACTTGTAGAACATGCTTTTGCCTTATTTACAAGGATATATTAATATCAGCAGTGTTCATTTTTTTGATTTGTTCACTTTGTTTATAATTTATATTCCTTGTTTTGTTTATTTTTATTTTAAAGCAGTATTTTTAAAATTATGTATCTTGAAAGAGTTTCACTCCCCATTGTGTATTTCGTTTTGTTGAGAGAGATTGTCTGGAATCTTCAAATTGTTTCAAATTTTTCTCAGACATGGACTTGAATCTCTTAGTAGGGGGGGCAGGCATACCAGGGCTAGGAAGTCCCTCCATATCAGACATTTTTAGCTCCTTCTCGACCTCTTCAGTCTCCTCAACGCTTGCTGGAGCCGTAAAAGGGAGGTCCAGAGCGGCCAAAATATCATTGTCAAACAGAAGATACAGCAATGGGTCATTATCGCAAAGGTCAAAATTGCCAAACTCGGCCATTGTTTTGGTAGGGGGGATGAAAGCAGACGTGTATTATGATAAATGAATAAGAACAGTGTTTTGTAATATAAAAGAATTTTGTTTTGAACAGATTTTATTCTATGTATTAAAATTATTTTGTTTTTAATTCTACGTTGTGTTTCAAAGCCTTTTATTCGAATTCAGCCGGGTTTGTTTACGTTCGTAGTAAAAGTAGTGACTAGGGGTGCAACGATACGCCTACCCCACGATAGGATACGTATCACGGTATTCAGTTCACGGTTCGATACGTATCACGGTACATGACATACTGGGTTAAAAAGACAGACGTTTATCATCATATACTTTAAACTCAAAAGTTTTAGCAAATGCTCATTACACTAACACTAGGAAAGTGATAACATCCTTCGACCTGATAAAAATGAAACTGGAAACAAGTTTATTTGCCGTTTCTGCAGTTTCATTGACCTCATGTTTCGTGCGGAAGCCATTTTGAAATTGTAAATGACGAACCAAAACAGACGGTTCGGATATTTACGGACCGATTGAACCGAACCGTGATATGAGTTTCATGTATTGTGAATTGAACCGTGGAAAAATAAACCGCGGTATACCGATAAACGGTTTATCGTTGCACTCTTAGTAGTGACCCAGTTATCAGAGGGTCAATGTATTCATGCACGCTATTCTTCATGTGACCTCTTGACCCCAAACTTGTTTTATTGGGATGTAAAAACGTCCGACTCAAGTAATGTTATGTAGGACAAAACATTTGCAAGTGTAAATATAAAGCTTAAACTGCCCAGAGTTGTGGAAAACTGTTGGTCATGCCGGCAAAACCGACTTAAAATTCGCATGACCGGTAAAAATGCTATCAATGTCGGTCCAAATGACTGGCCCCTTTTTTGGTTAAAAGTTTTTTTTTTTTGTTTTGTACATTTCCCATCACAATTTATCGTATCTTATATGCAATTACGTAATACCTTTTCTTTAAACGAGATCGAGGCTGTAAACATGGTAAATGAAAACGAAACTAGTATTGTTCTCGTGACCTTTTTAAAATGCACAACTGGGGCCAAGTTAGGTAGAAAACATATAAAACATGTAAAAGAAAAACTTCAGATGAAGACGAACTAAATATGATAAATTTCAACCGGTCCTACTAAACAGAGAACTCTAGAGAACCCTAGAGAACTCTAGAGAACCCAAGGTTTATATTATGAATTTATATATTATTTATGCATAATTGGATAGATTTTTACTAAATAAAGCATATTTTATTCATAAAATCAATTAAAAAGGTATTTTATGGAAGACGTAACAAAATAGAAGGCAAAATATTTTATGACATCCCGATCCCGATTGAAATTCAAAAACATTTTTTATCGAAATAATATTTTCACACAATTTTCAATTACTTTTCACATTATTTAATATTTAATTTTAATGAAATTTATAATTCTTAATAATTGACTCTGATATTAAACATATTATTTAATGTCATACTAGTTTTATTATAAAAGCTATGATGAAGTATTAAAAGATAATAGAGTACTCTGTTTAACATGTTTAAAGACGTACAACACACTGGGGGAGATAACTTTTGCGATTTCAATTGAACGTTTGACGTGACGTCAAATTTAACGTCAAAAATAAAGCGTCAAAACGACGAGTAAAACGATCCCGATGTATAACAATCGTGAAAGAAAACTGGGATATGGGACTATCACTTGGCTGTGATTTTGCGTGCCTTATTCAATCAATAAGTATTTTTTTTAATTAATACGATTAAACTCCGTAAAAAGCAAGACATAAAATACCATTTCATATGCAATAAATTGTTGTTTTTTTTTGTCAAAGCGCAGCATTTTTTTTTTATTCTGAAAATTTTATTTTACATTGCCGAAATTCTCATTATGTACAGTTGGTTATATAATATTCAAAATAATGATCTTCATTACAATTTGTGCATACATGATATAAATACATGGATTGCTTTTCTTTTTTAATTAAATAAAACAACAGTAAATAAACAAAAAACTTTTAACAATGTAAAATCGATGTCGTTCTCAGACCCTAACTGATCAAAGAGGAACAACTCTGAAAATGTAGATGTTTATTTTCCTCCCTTTATTCACGGTTTTACACAGAATCAGATACATTTACAGCAAGACTTGATAAATTCGAGAATTGAATACTATAGACCTCATATAAACAATGTAAGTATAGAATTGAAAAGAATTGTTCACTTGTACTAAAATTATCTACATTTATAAATATCCTATTGCAGCAAATCGTAACTTTGACTTTCTGTCAACAATGTCGGTTCGCATTTCCTCGAATCAAAACAAAACACATCGTCAGAACTCTCCGTTACACTGCATTGTAACATAGAGAAAACCCGTGGGTTCCGACGATGAACAAAACATATATAGTCTATAAGATTTTTTAAAAAATAACAATGTGCGATTTGATTTAAATTGAAATAGATAATATTTTGAAGTTAATGTGGACAAATATGGAATTTTCATTTTAACTTTAGAAGCGACGACATTGAAAGAAATGCGTACAATATCATGAGGGGTGTAGTATACATGTACATCAAATGCAAATGTCGTGTATCCCCACGGCCACATACTGTCTCGTTTGAAATAATGACATGAAAGAAACTACAATTACATGTATTTCATTTATATCACAGAAAAGTTGAACATACACCATTTTTTTATGAATAAAATTAAAGATATAAAATTAAAAATCAACATATTCACGTTCAAAAAAACTAATTACAGGTAAACTTCGGTATCTCGACATCGGATATGTCGACAACCTGGGATATGTCGACGTCCGTCCCCGGTCCCGGCATTATTTACTATATAAATGATTTGCAAAAACTCTGATATGTTGACCTCTGTAATGTCGACTACCCCGCTTATCTCGACGTATATTCACAGTCCCAAGAGTAAAATTTACCTGGTATATGTCGACATCGGGGCAATTTTCTGCTCTACTTAACTTAATTGTTTGTCAGCTGGTCGCTCGTCACGCACGGGCGACTCGGTGTATCTCGACGTCGTCAGAAATTCACACCTTTCACACCCATGTTTTAACTACATACTGCTCTGTAGAAATGTGTTTGTAGAGGAATCCCAAGCCCCCTCGGCGTCTCTAAGACGTTAATTGTTTAATGATCAGCTTGGGTAATATCATTGATAAATCTTCTAGATTCTGCGTAAATGTACAACCGGTTATTTATGTCGAAATCTAACAAACCTTAAACATTTTGTTAAAAAAAGTTACTTAATAACAATGAACAATATACACAAATTAATTCAATTTAACCTGAAAATTGTAAAAATGCATTCAACAGGAATCAATCAAAACAACGACATGCATCATTGCATCAGCCGTAATATGGATGAAGTTTGTTAAATGCGCAATTCCAATTAAATTTTGGTGTGAAAATGAAATGAAAATTAATGATGAATGATTATGAAATAAAAAAGAAGTGAAATGAAATAATTTTATAAAAATACACGCATTAATTTTTTTTCCGTATCTCTGAAGTCGACTTTGTACCGTTTCGGTTTGGAGTTTATAGAGCGCATTTCGTATCCTGTTCTGACAGAGCTAGTGGCACGCGGATCGAATGCTGTAGTCAAGGTTTTCGATAAAAAAGAAAGCATTTCATAAATAACATTTGTAAATATAGAACTTCTTAGATTTTCTAATAAATATAGAGGGATTGCTGAAACAAACGAGATACAGTCTAATTGAAGACGTAGTCACCTACAATTACACGTCTTTTCAGTAAATATCAATGGTTTTATTATGAAGTAAAATTAAGGACGTCGAGTCTCATTTCTGATATCTCGACACCTCGGATATCTCGACATTTTCCGACTGTCCCGTCGATGTCGAGATAACGAAGTTTACCTGTACTTGAATATTCGTATCCAGGTTTAATGTGATATGGAATGCATAACGCATACGTTTATGGACTATAAACACTAAAATCTTTCAGTAATTTTTTCCTCATACATATAAAAAGAGTAGTCAATATTTATTCTGCATTCATGAATATGAAAATTAATTCATACCTCCTATATTCTTGACGAAATATACCAGTTTGCACTGTAAACGACGTTTCGTCAAACGTTATTAATGTTCTGCGACGCAAAAAAGGAAGGGGTGGGGGTGATAGGAGTATTCAAAAATTGCATAAAAATCTACATTTAAATACGCTTTACAAAAGAGAACTTTTAAATTTGTAAGGTAATATATTATTCAAGCTAAAGCAATATTGCAATTTGATTTTTTTAATGTGTATTTGCAGATTCATATAACAAAGTGATCGACCCCCGTCTGAAAGACGCGCGGGAACGCGATTTATTGAAAAAGGGGGAGGGGGTAATTTTCCGCTATTAAATCAAAACCGGTCGTACAAAAATTATACAAAAAATTATTTTTACCACCAGCTACCTAAAGAAAGTTTTTTACTAAAATTAAACGACAGGTTTTTTCACAAAAAAAATTTGAATTTGAAAAATACGCATTTTTCAAGGCTTAGAAAATTCATAGTTTTTCAGTTTAAGGTCTTTAAAAATTGCTTTGATGATATGTATATCAAAAAGATGACTATGTTTTTGTTTTAAATGGTTAAAGGAATAAGCCAATGAAATTTGACATTAATAAATAACCTGGTTTTTTGAAAATCAAGGTTTAAGTAGTTCATTGATTAAAAAAATTCTCTCCTTGTAAACAACTAAAGGGGGGTAACTTTTGGAAGTTCCTGTCCAAAAACCACTTGAACGATTTTGTCCAAAATATGCATACATGCAGTAGATATGGTCATGTACTAAATATACAAAAATAGCGAAAATTAAACGACAGGAATTTTTTGGGGGTAGGTGTGTTGTACATCCTTAAATAAGCAAAAAACTTGTCAAAATATACTATATTTTGATTTAATTTTGTTTTGGCATGATATATTAGTTATCTAGAATATAAATATTTCATTTACAGACAAGAAATAATTAAAAATCAATAGGGTTCTCTCTAGAATTCTCTAGGGTTCTCTGTTTAGTAGTACCCTTTTTTCTCCTTTCATGATGATATATTTATTATCAGATTATCGAAACAAAGAATTCTAGGTTAATATAATTCCAAAATGTATAAATGTTTTTAAAAATTGCTTTGACTGTGCTGAATTAGCATTGTCACCTGCCAAAAAACGATGGTATTATTGTATCGAACTAGTATTGTTATGAATGCAAAATTAAAAGAACACGGATGAGTAGCGGTACTTGGAAATGGAGACTGAATTTTGTTTTATTAACAACACGATTTATTAAATAGATGTGATATAAAATGAATAAATGTTATGTTTTTTTCCATTTGCAACTTTCTATTTCGGACCGACAAAAATCACTTCGGACCGGCTTATTTTGTTTTCTTGCCGGTCCGAATGACTGGCTATCTGAAAAAGTTTTCCACAACTCTGCTGCCCCAACCCACGTTATACCAGTATAATTTGTGTCATTCTTAAAAGATTTTAAATATTTAGCCTCAGCATAAATGCAGTTAAATGGAAATTCTTTCTTTATTTCTTAAAAGTTTTTAACTTTTTATTTTATATTTATAAAAGAATTAAATTCTTGAATTTCAAGTTAACAGAGACAATGGAATATTAACATGAATATCATGATTTCATGAAAAATTCCCAAGGTACACTGTATATACACATGTACAATGTATGAATGAATCAGAATATAAACTGTTAAGCAGTAACTCACTGTAGGAAGGTCTGGACGAGCTGAACCAGTTCTGTACGGGAAATAACCTCCTGGTTAAACAGAACCAGACATCGCAGGAAATTCTCGTAAACCTCAGGGTGCTTCAGAAACTTCCTCACCTGAAAATAAGTTTTAAATTAAAATTACTTTTAAAAGTTTTCTTTCAAAGCCCATTAACCAAATTTTAGAATATCGCAAATGTAGACCTTTTAATTAAACATCTAAATGATCTTATAGTAAAATAATTAACAATACCATTCATCTTGTTTTTGATTTGTTTTTTTTTTTTTTTTTTTGTAAAAAATTTTATTAAATGAAGCAAACAGTTTTTTTAGGTTAGCATAAATTTTATCCAGAAAATATTCAAAGTAACGTTTTCCAATAATATGAAACTACATAAATTTCTATGTACTGTAAGTTTGTCTCATAAAACTGGAAAAGAACATTTTTCTGAAACTTAAACACTTGGTACTAATAGTGATTTTACACAACACTAACTTTGTCAAAGAAGGCAAACTCGTTCAGAGTGCCATATCTTCCGGCCTCAGCAAGAGAGATGTCTTTCAAGGTTCCCGTTCTCTGTTTCTGGGGGGAAAAATTAAACTATGAATTTGCATGAAATACAGGTATCATATGGTCCTTAAATCCTCTTGCTCTTTAAACAAAAACAATGAAGAATAATACAAATTCCATAATTTCATTTTGCTAATAAAGGCATCATAAACCAAGGCATCCGCTAATAAAGGGCTTTATCAATCCCAATATAACATGCCTAATTCCCTCAAGAATATTTATCACCAAACTGGATATGTGTCTATTAACAACAGAACAAAAAAAAGGATTGATCGCAAAAATTATTTGTCATGAACTAGTTTATCCATGGTAAAGTGCGAAAATGAAGTTGAAGCAAATACAATTTGGTTTACCAGTATACTATCTGACCAAATTACCTTCTGAGGGGGTTGAGGCCCGCCTGAGGGTCGTCTGTGCTGATTTCCACTCTTCCCCATCTGACTTTTGTTGCCCAGTGAGGGTTTCTTGACGGTAGAGGAGTGGTCATTTCTGACTCCCAGGGAGGAACTGTCAGTCTGCAACATGTTCAGCTGTAAAACAAAATGTATCCACAATATTAAACAAGGTAAAATGTGTCGAATGAAATTTCAATCATCTGTGTTCAACACTGAGGCTTATATATGATAATTGATCAATGTGTTAAACATGTATGTTCAGAAATAACTTTATCTTGGATTACAGTACAGAGACTGGTCATTTGTATCCTTGAATAGATGCAAAAAAAAAGAAAATTCATAAATTCTATTTCTAAGGTATTTAACTCCATAAAGATTTTCCGTACAACACTTTCCCTACACATAAATATGAAGAACAAATAACATGTTCCTTTTACCCCATGTCACATCTCCCAGGTTCTTACTTGTCTTGACTACCCCACCCCCAAAAGTTTACCGAACTCCTTCAAGTTTAATTTTAAAGTTTAACTTCCCCTTTAAGATGTCACATCTTCCCCATTACTTACATATCCTCCGTAAGACGACCCATTGGCGTCGGGCAGGAACTGACCAAACTCGGCCAGTAGGTCCTCCTGGTTCTGGAACAGCTTTGCCACCTGGGAGTAGACCTCGGCCTCAGTCAGGGGCTTACAGCCAGGGGAGACAATGCCCTGTAGGAACAAAACAAAAGGGAGATCACTCAAACTGATGACAATACTATTACTTCAATGATTGCTGTAAAACAAGGCTTTCAAAATCTGCCAGTACATGGTTCTTTTACCTGACTATCATCAGAATTGTACCAATTAACCAATAAAGAATCAGGGGCAGTAAGCATATGTGAGCTGCCCAATATTTTTAAAATATTTTTATACCAGTGTTATCGTTAAGTTGGTTTATTTTTCTTATATCGAGATGTCCAGTTTGATGGAAATAGCAATAAAATTTTCAACATTTGATTTGTAGTTGAGTTATCACCATGTGAAGTAGGGCGATTTTTTCCGGAATTGAGAAATTTCCATCAAATTCTCACATTCCAAACAGGATTTAGATATGGCCGCACGCAAACAACAGAGTAAAAATTTAATAGATTGTTTAAAATGGCACAATAAATTATATCCCAAAATATCATTCTGTTGCTTGCATGCGGCCACCCTGAAAAATATATAAACGGATGTTTTTCGAGGCCGATTTTGATCGCTTCCGGTTTCGGTTTTTATATTCAGACGTAAACAAAGTTGGAGGAAACAGAAAATGTGACAGTAGATTTATCGAAGTTCTAACCATTTAACAGGTAGGGATGAATTGAAAATCAGAGCAATTGTAATTTTACATGCACTGTTCAAAATGAAATCCCCTCCTATACTATTAATGATAGCAGATTCGACATGACAGACTCCGCTAACTCCATGAACTCGGGGGGACGGTAATCTTCACATGCATGTCAAACAGTTGAAAATAGAAAATGTGTATCTAAAATACATCAAACAGGAACACAACATGCTATCTTCTTTCAAAGAAAAAAAATAGATTATAAAAAATGACTTAATCATCGATTCTTTTTTTTTATTTAGGCCCTAATATTCATGATTCATTCATATGAACCCTCGATCGGCCGGTTGATCTACATGATTAGCCGCGTTTTATCAGTTGTGAAAATCTTTACATATACGGCATTAAAATATAAATATACTTCATTTCTAGGTTGGGGTTTATAAAATATTTTTCTGTCTGAGTACAAATACAACTGAGTCTAGCCTTACACTGGTACCTGTGTACTTTGTGTAAATGTATGGTGTGCTATAACAGTCAAAAATAAAAAAAAAAATGGCAAGAAGTTTTTTTTTTAAATTTTTTTTTATGTTAAACCATTAAAGAAATAAAAAAAATTGTTTCTTAAAAATAAGCTAACATCACTAAATCTAATTAATGTTCTTTGCAGAATAAACAATATAAATTCTTTCTATTTTTCTTGTGGGAACAATGTATTTTTGTTGTTTTTTTTAACTTATTAATTAAAATATTAATGTAAAATTTAACTTTTGTCAGTATTAAAAAAAATAATTAGATTACCTTGGAATATTATGAATTCATTTAAATCACCATTTAAATGAAAAAAAGATGTTTGTCATTACAAGGTTCATCTTTTTTGTTTTAATTTAAAGTACCCAATAATGTCCTTGCTTCAGATTTTATTCATTTAACTCAAATAAGTAAATCAATAAAACTGCTATTTAAATTGATTTCATGAATGAAATAATTATATATTATTCCTGGTGATACATGTATAAATAAATTATTCCCCTTTTCTCATATATAAAGAAAATCTTATGCAAATGTATATACACTGTACAAGTAACCCCCTTCATTCATGTATAGACAAAATGTGCATAGTTACATAATATATATAGTAATTTAATTTTGATATTTATATTTTAATTGTAGGATGCCTGGAGATGGTCCAAAACAATATCCTGTTACTGGAGCTGTTACTTGTTGGTATTGTCAGTGTCGTGCTGGACCCAGAGTTGTCGGGGCATGTGCCCATGTGGCCTCAGTATTGTGGTTTCTTGGCTATGAAAGACACACAAACTTTGAAGTAAGACCTATTCAAGACTGGGCTGACTACTTGAGAATGCAGCTGTGCAACCTGCAGTAATGGATGGCTCATCAGAAAGTGAAATGAGTGCAACGGAAGAGTGACATGAATTGTGACATTGGTTTACTGATAGTGAACATTATTGAGAGTGAACATTCTGCAGATTATAGGCGTCTCCATATAAATGAAAATTCTCAAGGGGGACGTTAAACAATATACAATCAATTAATCAATCAATCTGCAGGTTATGATATCAACTGCATTAGACTCCCATTATTGTTTTCAACAATATAGTGGAAGGCTGTGTATATATTGTTATTAATTAATTGTAAATAGGGATTTTTATGTATCTATGATTTTTTTTTATGTTTAAATTGTGATTTCTCAACATCTGTTATATAATTGAGAAATTAAAATATAGTACATTGTACATCCCAAAAACATAGTAGATTCATTGCATGAGTTTAATAAGTTTGGTTGTAAATATTGAAAGATGAATAATGTACTTTGACAAATGAAATGAATTGTTATTATCATATTATGATTAATTGTTATCAAAATTAATATACTGATGTAAAATGCATAATGCATCACAAAATGTTTCTCAGATAATAGTAACAATTATAGTTTATTATGCAATGTGTTTATTTGCATATTGAACTTTGTTAATAATTAACATGACTATATACAAGTACTTGTTATTTTTTGTAATACAATGTAATTACAAAACCTTTCCAGACAAACATGTACTAGAATAACTAATTCTTTGATGCTTAGGTCATTTTCATGACATTGTGAGGATGATAAACATTATTTTATTACATGTATGAGTAAATGTAGTGTATATAAGGCATGAGTGGTGTGATGTTAAACTTTTATGATCTTTTTGGAAAAAGTATAGGTGGGTGATGGGAGTTCTGGAATTTGTTTATGCAAACTGAAATCCCTTATTGTTATTTTTGTCAAGTTTAATAAATTGTTATTAAAAATGTTAGTTGAATACATTTCTTGTTTGTTCACTTTGTGCATTCAATGTATTTTTATGTGTAATACATACAAGTAAATACAAAGAATTGTGGTCCCCCACTTTCGGTGTCTTTGTGAGTGAGATGTTATTTTTATGACATATTGTGTCTAATATGAACACCCTACCATATGTCATTTATTTAGAAATTATCATTGAAGTTGATTTTTTTGAAGGATGAAAACCCTAATCCTGACCATTAAAAACTTATGGTCAAAGTGAAAGTTTTTAAAGGAGGTCAACTCCAAGGTCAAGATCAAAGAGTCAAAGTTGTTGATATCGAATGAAAGGTCTTCTCACAAGAATTACGTATGTGAAGTATGAAAGTCCTAGCCGTTATCGTTCAAAAATTATGGTCAAGGTTAAAGTTTATTCATAAGTAAGTAGATCTTTAAGGTCAAGGTCAAAGTTGTTCATATCCAATTAAAGCTCCTGCCAAAAAAAAATATATATGTGAAATATGAAAGTCTTATTATCTATCGTTCAAAAGTTGTGACCAAAGTTAAAGTTTTTTCAAAGTAGTGAAAACTCCAATGTCAAGGTCAAAGGAAAGTTGTTGGTATCCAATGAAAGGTCTCCTCAAAGGATTACATATGTGAAGTAGGAAAGCCCTAGCTCTCACATTTCAAAAGCTATGGTCAAGGTTTTAGTTTATTCATAAGTACCTAAATCTCAAAGGTCAAGGTCAAAAGGTAAAGGTTGTTGGTATCCAATGAAAGGTCTTGACTCAAAGAATACATATGTGAAAAATAAAAGTTCTAGTATCTACTGTTTAAAAGTTGTGACCAAGGTTAAAGTTTAAAAAGTAGTTAAAACTCCAAAGTCAAGGGTTAAAAGTTGTTGGTATCCAATGGAAGTTTTTTTTTACAAGGATAACATATGTGAAGTACGAAAGCCTTAGTCACCACTGTTCAAAAGTAATGGTCAAGGTTAAAGTTTTTTCATAAATACTGAAACTCCATGGTCAAGGTCGAAAGGTCAAGGTTGTTGGTATCCAATGAAAGGTCTTGCCAAAAAAAATACATATGTGAAATATGAAAGTCCTAGTACCAACCATTCAAAAGTTATGGCCAAAGTAAAAGTTTGGAATTTTTGTGTAAAAGTGGGTTAAACTCAAAGGTCAAGGTCAAAAGGTCAAATTTGGTGGTACCCAAAGAAAGGTATTTTAACAAGGAATACACATGTGTAATATGAAAGTCATAGCTCCATTAAATCAAAAGTTATTGGCAAGTTAAAGTTTTTGTGACGGACAGACTGACGGACAGACGAACAGACGAATGAGATTTAATGTCCCCTCGCTTTCACGAAAGCGCGGGACAAAAACAACTGTTTTATATTTAAATCCGTTTTTTTACCACTTATAGCTAAAAAAAAAATAGATTCTATTCACATGTTTAAGATCATTTCTGTTGTACTTGTATTAAACATACATCTTATATTTCTTTAATCATATTTACAGGGAAAAAAAATATTAAGAATTTCGAGAAATCAGTGAAAATTGTGTTATTTTTGTATTGACCCCAAAATGTCTTAATAGTGGTTTTTTCATCAAAATATGTCTGAAAAGGTGTGATTCAATTATAATTCTTTTAATATTTATAAAATTTTGTCCATTATGGTTGGGGCATATTTAGGGTCTTAATGCCCCTGATTCTTTCCATGAAGAAAAATTTGAAAACTTTTTTATTTGAAATGGAAATTAGTCAAACTGATGATAATAATACAATTATTTTAATGACTGTTGTAATAAGAGAATTCACTGATACTGTGATACGTACTTCTTTAAGGTTCCGTTGTTCCTTCTGGTAGGTGTGTAGAATCTCCAGGAACGCTTTATAGATCTCTGGCTGGCCTTGGAATCGATTCTGTTCACAAAACATTACAAATCTTAACACACTGATCTTATTAGTAACAACTTTGTAAAGAGCAATTTTTAGTTTTAAGATCTACATGTATCTATCTAAACTTTCAAACAAAATATTATTTTATGGCATTTTGGATCTGCTTAAAATTTCAATTCCAATATGAAAATAGTTTCAAATATTTCTTTTCTTTCCAATTAAGCTTCAATTTAGAATCTAAAAAAAAAACCCCAAAATCTGAAAATTTAATACACGAAAATCACTTTTTTGGACAATGGAATCATTTTGAAAGAGTCCAGAAAAACCACGAAAGCTTACAAAAGCCAACTTTATTTGATTTCTTACTGATAAATTTATATACATGATCATTCTGTCTATTACCTTGGCATGACTGAATTCTACAGGTTGACATCTTACCTTGATTTTGTTGATGGCATGGTTGAATCCTACCTTGATTTTGTTGACGTAGTTGATGGCATGGTTGAATCCTACCTTGATTTTGTTGACGTAGTTGATGGCGTGGTTGAAATCTTACCTTGATTTTGCTGACTTAGTTGATGGCATGGTTGAAATCTTACCTTGATTTTGTTGACGTAGTTGATGGCATGGTTGAAATCTTACCTTGATTTTGCTGACGTAGTTGATGGCATGGTTGAAATCTTACCTTGATTTTGTTGACTTAGTTGATGGCATGGTTGAAATCTTACCTTGATTTTGCTGACGTAGTTGATGGCATGGTTGAAATCTTACCTTGATTTTGCTGACTTAGTTGATGGCATGGTTGAAATCTTACCTTGATTTTGTTGACGTAGTTGATGGCATGGTTGAAATCTTACCTTGATTTTGCTGACTTAGTTGATGGCATGGTTGAAATCTTACCTTGATTTTGTTGACGTAGTTGATGGCATGGTTGAAATCTTACCTTGATTTTGCTGACGTAGTTGATGGCATGGTTGAAATCTTACCTTGATTTTGTTGACGTAGTTGATGGCATGGTTGAAATCTTACCTTGATTTTGCTGACGTAGTTGATGGCATGGTTGAAATCTTACCTTGATTTTGTTGACGTAGTTGATGGCATGGTTGAAATCTTACCTTGATTTTGTTGACGTAGTTGATGGCATGGTTGAAATCTTACCTTGATTTTGTTGACATAGTTGATGGCATGGTTGAAATCTTACCTTGATTTTGTTGACGTAGTTGATGGCGTGGTTGAAATCTTACCTTGATTTTGTTGACGTAGTTGATGGCATGGTTGAACTCCACTGGCTGCCCGGCCTGGGGCTGCTGGGGCTGGGGTTGGTGGCTCTGGTTGGTGGCCCCCATCGGCTCAGATCCCCCGCGGTGGGGCGACTGATGGTAGGAGTGGTGGGACGATCCATGGGTGGGGGTGCTAGGCATGTGGGCCGGGGGTGGGGTCGTCTTCTGGGGCAGGGAGAACATGTCTAACTTATGCCCAGGCATTGGCTGAAAACAATACAGTGAACCGATACAGAAGTTAGTTAGATTAAATATATATTCACAGATAGTTACAGTTTATTTTTGAGAATTTTGTTTTCAATGGCTAACAAATTAATGATATTTCTCAAGTGTACAAAATGTATACATGGGCAGCACGATTGGGGTGTTTGTAGGGTTTTTAAGGGTTTTTTCCACAGTTACATGTAGTTTTATTTATAGACTTACTGTGGCGGAGGGCAGCATAATTGGGGTATTTGTTGGGATACACAGGGTCTGTTGACCCGGCTGGTGGACGCTGATTTCGTTAGCCTGGACCTCGATCTTGTACCCCGGAGGGAGGAACGTGTTAAATCCCACAATCAGGTCAGGGTGACCTTTGAACAAGTTGGACACTCGATTAATAACTCCTGGGGTGTCGATTCTGAAAAAGAGAAAATTAATATATTCAGTTGAACTTAAGTTTCTTGAACATTGACAGACATCTCCAATACCACTGATGTGTTGAACTATGAGGAAGTCCCAACGACTTTTCCTTTATGTATTTTTTCCCTCAAAATCTTGAACCTTAGGTAGATGGCTCTAAGACATCTTCAAATATCAAATCAAATATTACAGAAATATAATCCAATCTTTCTGTCTTATCCAAGTAGAAAAGTGGTCACCACATTCTCCAAATGGACTCTAGTCTACAAACTGTTAAGTGCGTTATTCCTAAAAATTAACAGATGTCTCTACTTACGTTTGTGACTTGAACTCCTTCATGATGTCCAGGAAGTCATTGTAGACCTGGGGCTGGTTCCCGAACTGTAGCTTGACTTGGTCGAGGTATGACAAGGCGTCCTCCACCTTCAGTCTCTGGAACTGCTGCTGTTGCTGACCCTGGGTGGTAGCCGAGTGGGCCTGAATCAGACAATGGAAAAATTACAAAAAATTTAGTAAATAAGGCCAGATGGGTACTGAAAGAGATTGCAGGGTGAGCTTTGTCCAAACACACAGGAAATAATGCCTAACCTAGACCAAATGGGCCTGAAAAGGAAAACATGGGTGTGGAAAAGATTGTAGGTAGAATTTTAGACCTAAGCTACAAGGAACCATCAAGGTCAATGCATTGAAACTATCATAAATAGTCTAAACCTGCTTCAAATTATCCTTAAAATATGGCACGTATATCTCTATACAAGAAGCGAAATTTGTGGGGAATCATTATTGAAAGCAAGAAACTCTAAATACTTGCACAGTTTTCACCTTTGAAGAGGTGCAATTCTTATCAATTCATTGTGAAAAGAAAAAAAAAAACAAACCTCAGAATAGCTTACCTGCGGGGGTTGCCCCTGGGAGTGTGCTTGCTGGATGGAGGGCTGGGTTGACCCTTGACCTGTAGGTGGGCCATGGTGACCGGACAATGCTGGATTCGGCTGGTGATGCATTCCGCTTGAATGAACATGTGACTGTGTAGTCCTGAAAATATTTTATCAATTTTATTTGAACTGTTATTTCCATAATTATTGAAAAGAAAGGGACATTATAAAAGTAGAAGGGTGTCGTGGGTTTCTTCCCAAGTAGGAGTTGAAAGAGGGCAAACGACTGGGAGGGGAAAATCCCATTATAGGTGGGGGGGGGGGTCCCTGGCTTTTGAAGGACAACACAATTATTGGAATTAAACATTGAAATAGCAATGATTTAACTGCATATTTATAAAATGTTTCTATGTATGTAAATTGTAATTTTTCTGCAACAAATGTTCTTTTCATTGAAAATAAATTATAAAGTGCTGCCATTACATACGGGAAGCTGTGCATAGGAAACTGAATTTGCGCCAAGTTTTCCGCTGCTCCCACAGGTATGTCAAATCGCTGTTGAGCTGAAGGGGCGATAACTCTGGGATACTGGGACTCCCCTGGGGGAACTCTCCTGGGCTGCTGTAATATTTATAGTAACATGCAACGTAAAATTGTCGAACCATTGTTAACAGGCTTTATAAATTTAAAATGTTGAAAACAGATCTCTTTTTAAACAGTCAGTAAAATAACACAAGATTATCCAACATGTCTAAGTTTGAAATGAATACTTTAAAAAAATATACATGTATATATTAAAAAGTTGTTTCTAGAGGCAAAGCTTTTGACACATAAAATGTAAGAAGCATGCAAGAAAAGAATTTTTTTAGTCAGTGTGTTTTAAATATTTTTAACCTTACCGTATTCATGAGCTGCCCAGATTTTCAGCAGGAAAAAGGAGTTGATCCTGAATAAAAAAAAAAAAAAAAACAGTGAGTGTCAGGTGCAAGTTTAATTTAAAAATAGTTTTGTTAACTAATGTGTATATACAGTAACCCTGTGAAAAACTTTGACATGCACTATGTATGGGAACCTATCACCCCTTTCATCAAATTTAGAATGTCCCAGTGTACACAAAATAGTCGCCATTATTCCCGCTGAATTTGACTTCGGCATGTTTGCCAAATTCTCCCGTATCAACATAATAAATACACAAGCAGATATTGCACTGCTTTGGCTTATAACAAAATTTGATATTCTACACGAAGAAAAGAAAAAGTAAACCAGATTTAAAGCAGAAATTTGTAATAAACAGATCGGGGAGTTCAAAACATGCCATTCGGAACTTAGCACCAAGGAGTTCCGATACACGTTTCGATTTTGCCTGAAATTCTCTGAAATTTACAGGAAGATCAAGGCACAATTTATTTTTTTTATGATTGATAAAACCAACTGAAACCTTTTCACAGTCTAACTGGTAAACAAATGGTAGCTTTAACATGTAACTTGCTGCAAGTTCCAAGCTTAAGCAGACAGCCGCTTGGGCGAGTCCATTTTACCTTCCCAAGACCATAACACAAGAATTTTCTGAAGTCCTTCTCTAATCTTAGCGTACAAGGCATAATACTATAAAATTATTATGTTCATGAATGTTGAAAATCAGTTTTTACATATACCAAGAAATATAATCACGTAGATAAGCCGTAAAATAAGAAATTCCAGGCCACTGTTTGGCAACAAGACGACCTATAGGTTGTTAAAAATCAACAAATATTTGACATGGGGAATAGGACAATTATATGAGGAAAAAGTGGTGATTGCATAAAATAATGGAAGAAAGATGTTACAATGAATGTGTAAAAGAAATATATTACATCCTACCTTCGTTTTAAACACCGATGATTGCGATTTTTGTCGGATTGCTCTTCTGGGATTCCCTTCCGAATATCAATACAAACTTTTCTATTTTTACACAATCGTGATGTCAGAAAGGTTTTCCCATGCTCGTCCAATGAAAAACGTTGTTGCAGGCGTTTAAAAGGTGGGCAACGCGTTTTTTGTCTTCGACTTCCGCTAAAAGAAAAAGAGGCGGATCTCAAGTGTAAATGAATAGGGCCTAATAAATATTAAGGTCATCTAGCCATGGTTTTTACTTTTAGTAAGATACCTATTGTTCTACAGCTTAAAGTAACTTGATATTGACATTTTTTTCTTTTATATGAAATCGGGTTCGAGATTGCGTAACAGTTCACGAAATGAAAGTAGGATAACATGTGTTGACCAACTGTCTCTGTCAGTTTGTGCAATTATGTCAGATGAATTAGGATCAGGACCATCTTCAGCTTGTGACGGAACTGACGATAAAGCAAATACAGGTGTTATTTCACGAGCATGTTACTTCTTTATTATATTTTTTTATAATTAAAGAATAGTTAAGCAATCAAACAACTTAGCATACACTGATCAGGGGATGGTTAGTTCTGTAAAAATAGGAAAGTGCTAAGAAGATATAGAGAAGAGAGACTGAAGGAAAGAAAAAAAATCAAAATGCTTCTTTGTTAGGCTGCCTGGTGGCGGCACTTGATCTCCTGGTGGGATGTGCTGATACAGTCATCAAATTGAAAAAAAAAACAACAAAAAACCTACACTTGATGTGCTCAGCAAAGATATATGACCATCACAATTTTTATGCCCATTTTTGAAGGAGGGAGGGTATATTGCTTTAGTGCTGTCTGTCAGTCGGGCGGTCCATCTTCAGTTTCTGCTCATTTTCTTTGAAGGGGTTGCATATTGAAATAAAATTTGGTATACCGTATACAGAGTTATCATGATTAGGTCATAGAATATATTGCTCACGCTTAATTTTGGATACGATCAGGCCATTTTGGTCAGAGTTATGCCTCTTGGTCCAAGAAAAATCCCAATTATTTTAGGAGGGGGACATAAGTATTTACAAACATCTCTTGGTTTGAAGATATGTTCTTGCTCAATATTATAGTGAATTGTAAAAAAAAAAAAAGTTTACATGTGCATATGCTCTTGGAGAAATGCCAGAGTGGGAGTCTTTCCTGGAGTAAATAGTTCTAGGTTCTGTCCTTGAAGAAATTCCTTTCTAAGGAAGACATATGTACACTTTAAACCACCAACTTGAAGATCATCTTAAGAAAGTCACGCAACTGTCAACTTGTACATATGTACCAGTACCACCATATAGCACAACTTTAAAAG